AAAATATGTTTTAATAAAAACGAAATTAAAAATTTTAATTTTGTTTTTACAATAACCATTTTAATTCAAAATTTTTAAAAATAATAAAAAGTCAAAAATATTTTATATTAAAGTAGTAAGGAAATTTAGAGTTTTACAATTATTTTATCCCGCCCCTATTTACCATTCTTAATAATTATAGAATTTAGAAAACCATCAAATAGTATTATACTGTGTATAATACTGGAAGAGTCAACTCATACAATTTTAACTGATAATGCGCAAGGCATTTTAGATGTGCGCACAATAAGTTTTTGTATTTCTTGAAATATTTTTGAATCTTCTATAATCATTATAGTTAGATTTTATAAAGTAAAATTTACATATAAAGAATTTTTATTTACTTCTTAAAATTTTTTTTCTATTTTTGAGTTTCTAATTCAACATTTTGTGCAAAATTATTTAAAATGCGATAACGATTATATGTTATTTTAATTTTAGCACCACATCTTATCACATATTGTTGGTTTTAATTTCTAATTTATCTTCATCTTTAAAATAAGTTTAAAAAAAATTTAATATTTTCTAATATGATATTATTATACATTTTATTTATATATTTTCTAATATGATATTATTATATATTTTATTTATATATTTTTAATATGATATTATTATATATTTTTGTATATATTATATATTTAATATTTTCTAATATGATATTATTCTAATATGATATTAATGTGTTATTCTGTTTTATGAGGTATTTTACTAATGGTTTAATTGCTTTAAATTGTATTTGTTTTTCGATTTGATTACCTGTATTTTTTTTGATAATTGTTTTAGCCAATTAAGATGTAGCAATCTCAGCAACAATAGCTGCTGCACCACCCATCTGTAACTGGTGAATAAATAATCTGTTCTTGAAAACATTAATGTTTTTAATTAAAAAAGGGATCTTATTTTTAATAAAAACAAACATTTTACTATATGCTTTTTTTATTGTTTGTTTGTTTATATAATTTTACCTTTATTATCTCATGACAAGAGTGTTTTTTATTTCTTTAGTTCTCCTTTGGTGCTTTACTAACTATCATTAATTTACTTTGTTTATTACTTAAAATATGGTTTTAACTTTGTTAATTCTAAATTTACTACGTTAATCATTAGCTAATAGTTATATACAATAAGCTAATAGCTATATATAATAGTTAATAGTTATAAGCTAATAGTTAAAATTACAATAGGACATTTTTTTTACAAAAAAATGATGCTTACAGGAACAAAAAACTAATGGGTACACAAAAATATCCTCGATAATGTTAATGTCCCCATAAGTATTCTTTTTATGTAAAATCTGTAAGAGATATAGGTGTATAAATATATATATATATATAGGGCATCCAATCCCGGTATACCGAAAACCGGTATCCCGGTATACCGGACATTTTTTGAATACCGATACCAAACTCTCAATACCGGTATATACCGGTATTTCTCATCGATGAGGCTTCGTGCGTGTTTTGACACAGAGAAATCTGTATCAAATAGTTATGCTACTAAAATTCGAAACTCAATAATAAAAGAATTATCTAAACTTCAACAGCAAGGAAATCGGTTTAGTCTTATGTTTGACGAGTAGACTTCGGTAAAAAATAGACGTTATTTGAACATTACCGTTCATACTCGAAATAGATTTTGGAATTTGGATTTAGCGAGAGTTAATGGACATTTCCCAGCAGAAATGTGTGTTAAGTTAATTAACAACATACTGAAAGAACACAACCTAAATATTGATCGCGATATTGTATGTATTACTACAGATGGTGCTTCCGTTATGAAGAAAGTAGGCAATTAATGTCCGTTGACCAGCAACTTTGTCTAATCCATGGAATCCAATTAACTGTGGTTGACATCTTGTATAAAACAACAACTGTAGAATTGACCGATGATTATATTGAATCTGATAAAGATAGTGCGGGTGAGATTTCCGATGACAATAATGAAGAGCATTTAGACGGACTAAGGATTTTTCAGAACTCGCCAATTTCAAATGAACTTGAAAAATAATTTGGCTCCATCGATAAGCAAAGTTAGAAAAGTTGTAAAGCTGTTCAGGCGATCGCCAACCAAAAATGAAATCCTTCAAGTTTATGTAAAAACTGAACATGGTAATGAACTCTCATTAATATTAGATAATAAGACCATATAGAACAGCTTACTTTTTATGCCAGAGTGTTTTTATAAACTAAAAAAATTCTATTCAAAAAGCCCTGATTGACTTTAATTTAGCTAATAATTTTATGGAATCTGAATTAGAATTGATATTATTAATAGTTTCTATGTTGTTACCAGTGAAATTGGCTGTAGAGGCTTTATGTCGGAGAGATGCTAACCTACTATCAGTTGATACTACCCTGGCATTCATACTGCAAAATTTGGGCGTAGGACCATTAGGTTAAAATATGAAAACCTCCTTGATTATAAGAATAAAAGAAAGACGCACTAATTTATTTTATCTCATACAATATCTTCATAAAGGTGATCAAGCCCATAATAATTTTAGTTCAGATATCATATTTGATCGGCTAACTAAAACTGCTTTGGTTAATTTAATTGTGCATCTTATCCAGCGGCTCTCATCCGAGCAAACTGAAACTGCAGCATTCCCATCAGAAAAAGATGAAGACGAAGATTCTATAATGTGTGAAGACGAACCTTTGAGCTTGACATTACAGGAGCAGCTAGACATGGCCATAAATAATGAGATAAAAATGAAAACAGTATCAAAAAACAAAGCAAAGTACTAATGATTTGAATAAAATGGTGCGAAAAGAAGTTTCTATATTTGAGGAAGACGGTACACGTGGTACCAACTTAATGTTAGTATATGATTATATTTTAACTATTCCCCCAACTAGCGTAGAAGCTGAACGAGCTTTCTCTTCATCAGGAATTTTAAGTACAAAAATACAATCATCTTTAAATTACTAAACCTTAAATAATTGTTTTTTGCGGGCCTATTTTAGTAATAAATAACTATTTTATGTTTTTTGCTTGAAATTAATTAATTATATCTATTATTTTAACTTAAAAAATAAAGTTTTGAAACCGTTTAACTGTTGCTTTGGGTTTTATTAAATGTTTTTTTAGTAATAGTAAATACCGGTTTTAATACCAGTATTTCGGTTTTCACTTAATCTAGTACCAAAAAACCGGTATTCAATTTTTGGTCCGGTATTGGATGCCCTATATATATATATATATGTATACACCTATATCTCTTCATCGGACATTGTCTGGTTAAAACCTTAGATTGTCTGCTCAATTTACAAAGTGATTTGATATTTTGACCGACAGGAATTAAATTCTTCAAAATAGAGTTTGGACATATGACCGAACACTTTTGCTGGTCACGCAAATGATTTTTTTGGTTAATTGACCACCACTGTTTTAAATGTTTTGATGATTTATATGTTTCAGAAATGCGCTTAAAAAAGAAACGTTAACCTAAACTTAAACTTGGAAAAAAATTGAAAAAACTATAGAACAAGCAACACAATTCCTTACAAAAAAGTAAATAAACTCGAAGTAGAAATTACTTTTTGTTATGTTTTTTAATTGCATTTGAAAAAAATTACTTTAAAACTGATCGTATAAAACGTTTAATAAAAGTTACACAAAACGCTTTTACAAATCACTTCTATTGATTGGTTAATAAATGAATCTTTAATAAATTTTTTTATTATTGAAAAAAAAAAAAAAATTTAATATTTTTAATTTGTATAAGGGGTTGTCCATAAACGACGTCACCCATCTAGGGGAGGGAGGGGTCCAGACTTTTGTGACGATCTGTGACATGGGGGAGGGAGGGAATCAAAAAGTTTATGGATAGCCTCTAAACAAAAAATTCAAAAAAGATTGTTTAAAAAAATAACGTAATCTTTTTAATATCGTAATTTTTAATTATTTTATGATTTAATTAGTAAGTAAAGTTTCAAAAATATTTTTTTTGAACAATTCTTTGTAAAAATAGTAACAAAAAAAAAAAAAGCAATTCAAGCAAATCAAGAGAAGATTTAATTTAACTTATTCATAATTTAAAGTAACTTAAAAAATATTATTTTAAAAGATTTTTAGAATGACATGAAAAAATAGTTTCAAACATTTAAATTTATCATAAAAAATACATACCTAATAAAATAAAAATTAAATACAACATTTAATTTACACCATAGTCTATAGAAATATACTGATATTTCTAATAGTATATTTTAATAGTATCTTTCTATAGACTATGTTTACACATAAATGCGTTTATTTTTAAATGATCGTTATAATTAATTTTTGATTTTATTTAAAGCCTTCCTGTAAAATAAACTATTAAAAATAGATCAATGATTAAAAATTATTTGTAACGTAAAGATTTTTTTAATTGCTTATAAATTGTATAAACATCAGAACAGCCGTTGTCAAATTGTTAAGAAAAAAATTATAAGCATTGTCAGTTACAGCTTGAAATTTTAAGTCTATCTAAAAAACGTACAATATTAAATTGAAACTATTTTATTAAAAAACAAAAATCTACAATGAATTATGCTAAATAATAAGGAGAGAACTTCACTTGACTAATGTTAAATAAACTGAATAACATGACAAAGACTTTGATCGCATAACTCTTTGATCACATTAACTTCCATAAAACCGTTAAAATTATATTTTAAAAATTTGATTGGACACTGTCCAACCCAAACAAGTTTTGATCAGACATTTTGTCTGGCACTTTATATAAAATTAAATTGAGCCCTGTATACATATATATATAAGAAATTTAATATATAGTTAAAAATAGTTAATATAGTTCAAATAAAAAAATACATACTGGTCCAAGAAATCCAAGAAGACCAGTACGAACATACATATCAGATAATGTTCTACTTTCATCAATTGGCTGAACCTAAAAACATTTAATTAAAGTTCATTAAAGCAACTATTTAACTGTAATGCAACTATTCAGGTGTAACTCATATTGCTAATCAGACTGTGATTAGCATCATGATGCAACTCATGATGCAACACACTGTAATAAGCAACACAGCTAACCAAGTACAACAATTAGTAAAAACTCAAATCCATAAATTGCATTAGAAAAAGGACTTTAATTTTTGATGTATAAGGATTTTCTACTATTTCAGTAGATTAGTGATTTTGTTTTATAAACGTGTATGATAAAAAAGTTTAACTATAGTAATAAGTTCAATTAAAATTTTTAATCATATTACACAATCATATTACGCAAATAAATAAAAAGGTAAAAAAATTTACTTTAAATGTATGAGTCGTTTTTCCTGTGAGTCCGAAATATGCTGTTCCACTGGAATAAGAGTTTATACATAGTTCGCCAACTTCATCTACTTTGCACAAAAGTGGAGGTCCATTTAATTTAATCACAACAACTTTTGCTAAAATAAAACATTTTAAAACATATTTTCAAAACATCAATATTTATATGCCTGCTGTAAATCATAAAGTTAATCAACAACTTATTTTTAAAAAACATACTAAGGAATAAATTATCCAATAAGCAACTTCCATTGTATGCAATTAAGGTTTAAAGGTATTATGCTTTTTATTAACCCATAAAGGTAAATGACAGAAAAATTATGGATACAAATATATAAGAACATCACTTACTGAAAGGTGGTGTTTTAACACCACTTACTGAAAAGTGGTGTTTTAACAACACTTACTAAAAGGCAGTATTGTAAAACTATTCTGGATTTTAGGGCATGAAAATAAGATGTAAATAGGAAAGGTAAAATAAAATAGAAAATTAAAAAAAAAATTAAAGAAAAATGTCTAGTACAAAATGCTTTGTTTAGTTTATCTGATTGATAACTAGTTAAGTCTGCTTAATAATTAAATTAAGCCTGATTGATAAATCTATCAAATCAATCAAAATCTATTTTTTAAATTTTTTCTAATAGAGTGCACTTATAACTAAAAAGTCTATTATTTAAATAAACAAATAATATAAATTGTGTTTTGTATTGAAATATGTACTTAAAACAATAAACATAGCTAACCTCCTGGAACAACCATGCCACAATCTTGAAGAGTTAAAGCAGTTAAAGAACCCTCACGATCAACACGCACAACATTATGGCTTAACCCAGTCAAAGACAAAACTCCACGACCAGTTGATATTGTTCCTGGGTTGCCGGGTCTAAAAACATTAATTGAAAAAAAAGTAAACTTTTTGTTTAACTACATTTATTTATATATATATATATATATATATATATATATATATATATATATATATATATATATATATATATATATATATATATATATATATATATATATATATATATATATATATATATATATATATATATATATACACACACATATATAAAAACCCTTGGAATTAGGGTCAGCATTGGGCAATGCTGACCTAACTGTCTATCTAGAAGTGTTTGAGGTTGTCAAAAAATGTCTAACCTTGTTTCTATGTTTTATGGTAAAACATTTGCATCAAATTTTTTTTGCTGACCTGATGCCAACCTTTAACAGATTAAGGTCAGTAAAATATTGCTGACCTTATTTTTCCTAATTCCAAGAGATGTGTGTGTGTATATATGTATGTATGTATATATCAGGCCTTGTTAAGAAGCGTTACACAGCTCGCATTTTGCCTGCGAAAAGGCGATTTGCCTACGCGTTCAGCAGTTATGCGTTACGCAAAAACTTTTATCTTTTAGAATATTTAAATTATCTTTTTATATCGTTTATATGACGTTCATTCAGAAGTATTAAAGTAAGTCGTAAGTAAAAGAATTTAACCGCAATTGTAAACTAATAGATTTTTTGTTAAAGAAACAATTTGTTTAATAATTTTTTTTTTTTTTTTTTTAAATTACTTAAAGAAAATAAAGTGTTTTAAGTTTAAACTTTTCATCATATTCAATTTTAAATATTAGATTTCATAAGTTTATAAACTTTATTCACAAGTAATGTTTATTTTATATGTAATGTATTTTGTTCTGGCTGGACCTGTCGGTAATATGTCAGAAAATTTAGTTGATCGAATTTTTTTTTTTTTTGAATATTTAGTATTTAGAAGTAAATGATTTTTTTAGTGTTGAAGATTCTTTTTTGCATACATTTCTATTATCATTAATTTTTTAGATTGATCATAGAAAGAACGTAGATTAGAATTAGTTTATGAGCAGTAGATGAATACTTACTAGTCAAGTTCTTTAAAGAAAATTGTTGATAAATTTTTTTGTTTTGTTTAAGCACTGATTAAAACTGTAAAGTAGTATGAAGCTATAATCATATTATATAAATGATTGAAACTTGTAACTACCATTAGAGAAAAATAAATAAAAAATCATTTTATTTCTTATAATTTTAAGCAAAAATGCCGCGAGATAACATTAATCGTCAATTCATAGGTCAATTTCTTTGAAAAAAAAAAAACTTTTAAGGAAGAAGTGGTAATTGAACAGGGGAAGAGTACGTGTCTCCCCCCCCACCTCCATTGTATCGTCGGGTTAAGATGCATTGCACTGCTAACTCCGGCACTCCGGGTTAGGCTGCAAACGATAGTCCAGATTCTGGTACTTGAGTATTTCAACTAAAATTAACTTTTATCAATGGTATTTATGGAAAGGTTAACAAAAATATATTTAAAACAAATACTTAAAAAAAAACGGTAATATTTAGCAAAATCAGTTGTTTCCTATTTATAAAAATCTTTTCTCAGTAATTACGATGATATTAGGATGTTGTTTTGGTGATGAGAGCTGTTACATTTTTCACAACTAAATTGGTACTTAGTTAATAACTATCGGGAAAGAAAAAAATTTTTTTTTCCATTCAGGAAAAAATAAAGATATATATTTAATTAAATTTTAAAGTACAATAGTTATTACACTTAGTTAGGCTGCCTATTTTTTAATGCGCATTAAATTTGTTTCTGCTTTTTTGTAAAAGATACCGGAAACTTGTTTATAATAAAGCGAAATAAACTTCTAGCTAATGTTAGTTATTTTAATTTCCTTACGACATATTAATTTCCTTTATAAGGAGTTTGATATTTACTAAGGATTTCAACAAATCATTCAACAATTCTAAACTTTTTTAAAAATACATAATCAAATGGATAACATTTTGAATAAAAACAGAGTCACTTTGAAAACTTTTGAAAAATGGAATCTTTCCGAAGTTTTTTGTATAGAAACTGCTGTAGAAAATGGAATTTCATATGTTGTGAAAATATTTTGTAATGTATGTGCTCTTCATCAAAAGAATATACTGGCTAATACCAAAGGAGCAATAAGAACAGTCGCTTTACGATACATAAATGGGACACGCTACGTTAAAAAAGATAACGTTTTTTGACATTTACAAAGTGCTGTCCACAGAAATGCAATCCGATTGTCGAATGAAGACCTAAATGAAAACAAAGAAGCAAACAACAAAGAGCAACAGGTTAATAGTCAGACTTTATAATTATTATATATTTAAACTATAATTTTAAACAAAGATGTTAAAATTTTGAATTAGTTCACTTTTTATAAATAAAAATCTTTTTCAAGTTTATATACGAAATAATTATTTACTACATGCAACAAAGCCTCTATAAAATAAAGTAATCAAACTGTCTACTTTCCTTGGAATTCCTCATTATTTTCATATATTTAATATAATTATGATGTTGTAAACTTTTTTTACAACTCATTTATGTCCTTTTAAGAAATTTTATCTACTATTTCTATAAGGTGGAAACCAACAAACTCGACATTAGTTCATGTGAAACAAAATTGACAGAGAAAGAAACATCTACAAATAATTATTACAAAAACTTGGTAAAAATAGCTTATGAAATGGCTTGCCATCCAACTATGCCTCATGCACATTTTTCTATTCTCGTAAGTTTTAGTTAATATTATTGTTAAACTTTTTTTTTTTTTTTTGCAAATAAATGTTAATTTTTTTAAAATGAAAAACAAGTTCAAATAAGTTTAAGCTTTAATCGTAGTTCCTAATTTATTACGTGAAAGTATTAATTTTTTATAATAATATTTTATTATATCTTAAGGTTGATTGTGCACGCATCACAGGATCAAACTTCATAAATCGTAAAGAAACAGGATTTACTGGCAGAGAACTTATCAAATGTTGTGCCAATACTGTTCGTGAGAAAGCTGTAAAATTCTCGAAAATTGCAACTTCTTCTCAATACTTAGCGACGGAAGTCGAGCACGAAAAACTGGAAAAGAAAAAGAACTTGTTTTGGTCCGTACAGAGCGCAATCGAATCCCGATATATATGGTTACCGAGTTGTTGGAAATGTCACAATTTGGTGGAAGCGATTCAAACTCAGTTACTGCTGGTATTAACAGTGTCTTTGAGTCTGATAATTCATTTTTCAAAATATCTACTGAAGATTATATTAATAAACTAGTTTCTGCCACAGCTGACGGTGCAAACGTTAATTTTGGTATAAAAAATGGTGCCCTAACACAGCTAGAAAAATCTCGCAAATGGTTATTGAAAATACATTGTATCAACCACAGAATCGAATTGGCTATAAAAGACACATTTAAGGATGTAACGGAATTCATAAAGATCGAAGAATTTTATTTGTCAAATTATTACCTACTAAGAAATTCTGGAAAATTAAAAAGTGAAGTCGAGGCTGCAGCAAAGGCTATAGGAATAACTTTTTACATTTTACCAAAAATATCTGGTACAAGATTTGTCGGGCACAGGAAAAGAGCCCTTTCTAGTCTTCTCGAGACATGGCCAGCCTTTCTTTCAGTGTATGAAAACTATGCAAGTGACCCAAAAAATGGCAAAACAGTTGGAAAAGTAAAAGGTCTATTAAAATTATTTAAATGTCAATCATTTCTTGTTCAAGTAGGTTTATATTTAGACTGTTTGGAAGTTATTATCCCAGCTTCAAAAATTTTCGAAAAAAATGAGTTATTACCTCACGAAATTCCGACAACTATTCAACGAACTTTAATAGAAATAGACGATAAAATAAAATCAATTGGGGAAGAAGATGAGTTTTATGACAGCTATGTAATTCGCTATTTGGTCACTGATCACAACGAAATTGAAGGCTCCTTTCAAAGAGCTGGTAATAAAAGAAAACATCCTAAAAATCGTTCTTACATTAATGTAACAATGGAGATGAATAAGTTTGATCAAGAAAAAACAATTCAAAAAATGCATAAAATTAAAAGAGTGATTTTTCCTAAACTTCATGAATTACTTTCAAGTAGATTTCAAGATTATTCTCGTGAATTTTCCATTTACAGAAGTATGAAATTTATTGATCCAATACATTGGATAGCTGAAGATAAAGAATCGGGAGTTACGCAAATCAAGTTAGTCACAACCGAGTACGAGTCTCATCCGGTAAGAAGTTTATGGAATGTAATTTTTAAACATAAAATTAAAGAATTTCCTAATATATGTCTTCTAGTTTCTCTTATTATGTCTATATCCAGATCGAACTCAGAAGTCGAGAGAACTTTTAGTATTGTTACAAGTATATTAGCAGATAAACGCTTATCAATGAACCACGACACACTTGCTGATTGTGTCATAATTCTCGGCAACAAAAGTCTTTGGTCGAAAGATGAATACGATAATATTATTGACTTATCGTTGCTGAAATATATGAAAAAACGAAGAAAATCTGATGTTGGTGATTTTAACAAACTTAGAACAGCAAATATTCAAGATATACAAACATGCAGCGATGCTGATGACGTAGACAGCAAAGATGATATGCTAGCAGACTATCTTAAGGAATTAAATATATAAATTCATTTTAAATATATAAATCATTTTTTGTCATAGTAATTTAAAAAATGCATGATTTATTTTGATGTAAATATTTTATTAATAAGATTCATTATTAATAATATTTTGTTTATTGTTAATTCAATTCGAATAACGTAAAGTTTTAATGACGTACGTTTAATTTATGAACATAACATTTATGATCACGAATATGTTATGAGTAACTGATAAAACTCTTTATTTTTTAAAAACAATATTCATAACAAAGATAAAAAAAAGTTTATTAACAGTTAAAAAAAAGAAACAAAAACCAACTGTAAAGTTATAAAAAGATAAACTAATATCATGTTATGTTGTATGAAAGAAAATATTTTTTTAAAAATAAAATTTAGCAAATGATAAAAACTATTTTTCAAATAGGAACTTATATTTTATTTGTAACTTATGATATAGTGAAAAAAAAGAACTGTCTCAATGATTTTTAACGCGTTAAGAAATTAACTTTAATTATGATGCGGTACTTGAATAGACGCTAGTGACGCAATTTAACTTCTAACAAAACAAAATAAATTTGCTGAGTTTAGTTACTTTGAAATGCGTTCAGCGTTTTCGTTACGCAGCAAAATCTCGTAACAAGGCCTGATATATATATATATATATATATATATATATATATATATATATATATATATATATATATATATATATATATATATATATATATATATATATATATTATATATATATGTATATATGTTTTTTTGAAAACTATTTGTATTTAACTCATAAATGTTTTTGACATAATTATTTTCCCTATCTTTGCAAACATCAACATAATCTGTTATTTCGTCGTTTTTTTTTACAAAATTTTTGTTGTTTTTTGTACATCAGTTATTGCTAAATGAGAATTGTAGTTATAATAAAGTTGAGATATGATGTCTAATAGCCTTCCATACTTGACCCTAACAATGGCTCCATCACCCGTTGATGATATTATATTTGACTTAATGTCAATTTTAAATTCTTTTAACTTTTATTTAGTTTTGTTTGTTCTGCATTACATGTCCTTTTTATGTGAACTAACCCCAACACAGACACTTTTTTAATTAATGAAAGTCATTAAAGGTGTAAAGTGTAAGATTGAGATATCTTTTTATAAAGTTATTAGCCCACTCGTCTACTGTTAGTGAAAATTTATTATTTTTGTTCCTTTAGACCCATCATAATATTGTTTCTTCATTTTTGTTTTGGAAAATTTTAGAATGCATTTAATTTCAGTAGTAAGACATTTTTAGGCATGTCAAATCCTTTACATTTAACGTACCTATTAATTGCTTGTGATTTCACAACAGAATTCATTGAAAAACCATTCTCTGCTACACACCAAAATAAATTTTCCTCCAATGTAATAATTTTATTAAATTCTTTTATACTATTACCAGCAAAAGTACTCTTTAACTTTTTCAAAGTTGATGGTTTATTTTGATATCTCTTACAAATTGTTAGTAGTAGCAGATAGGCTAGATGAATTTTTGTAAACTTTATAAACTTTAAAATGATTAAGAAGTTATAGATAATCCTTTACACCTTATTTACCTTTATTTACTGCTTAAAGAAAGCAGTTGACTCTGTGTTAGCATCTGTTTACAACCAGGAGTGGTATCTTGATTCAACAATTTTTCTCCTAACTCTTTTAGATAAAAATATTTCTATGGATAAAAAGCAGCCATTTTATTTTACTTTCAAATACTGGACTCAGATTATTTTAATAATAGAAGCAAAGATCAAGCATATACAATTAATGCCATAAATAAAATGAAAGTACCAACCCTCACTCTTTTGGTCTCACTCTTTTTTGAATTTTTCACAAAAATTCTCACAATAAATTTTTTTTTAATTAGTTGAATGAACAGAGAGTGTAAGATTGGTTGTCCCTTCCACCCCAATATTGGCGCACCCTGTCCTTGTTTCAGAATTTTGAAATTTTTCCGTAATTTTAATTGTTGTAAAGGATCATTCTGAATAAGCTATTAGAATGATGCAACTGCTTGTGTATCATGTGAAGTAAATATTACAAAAACGAAAAAATGTCAGAAAGTCTGACTACACTTTCTAAACTAATAAAAACTGAACTTCATTTTAAAATGCTTAATTCAATTAATGCCAAATTTTTATTTTGATCGTATTTGTAAATTTGTAAAAACTTTTTTGAAATTTCTTTAATTAGTTCAAAACAGTCTTTTTTGTAGCTGATTAATGAAATTCATCTGAACTTTTAAGTATGAAAATATTTAAGCTGATTTCTGTAATCTCATGGATAAAATAAATTCTTCATTTTTTGTGTTTGGTAAATATTGTTTTGACCAATACAGGTAAAGGGACCTCAGAATGCAGTGAGACCTCAGAACACCAGGTTTTAAATCAAGCAACATAAAACCCAAATTTTTCTATTAACTGCAGAAAGCCATAAATAATCTAAACAAAGCATTTTTAAGTTTTTTGAGCCCTTTTGAAAATAATTTTTCAAAATGTCATCAGAAATAATGCTTCTGATAAAAGCAGTTCTTTAAAGATGTATGTACAGAATAATATTTTCTTAAAATCGGATTTCAAATTACCTAGCATTTTGTGGTACTGATACCTAGCATTTTGTGGCACTTTATCTAGCATTTTGAGGTACTGATTTAAAAATCTATATAATAAACTTTATGGATTTCTTTTAAGAATTAAAAATAAAATGTAACATTACCAAACTTAAAAAAAATATAATGAACAAAAAATATAAAAATAAGATCTATATAAACTATAATCCAAAATCAGAATGATACATTGTATTCTAATATGTAGTATTCTCCAAATTTAGTTGCAGCACAAACATTATAGACACATGGAGACTCTTCCTTACATTTATAGAATGCCTAAATTTGTTGTTGTTGCTTGAATTTCTTTTCTTTATTAACATGCTTCTTTTTAGCAATGTCTTCCTTGATTGATGAAACCGTTTCTAGCATTCCTCTCCCCCCTTCCATTGAGCAATGAATCTGGGTAACTCTAACATAACCTAATGTGAACTGAGGTTCCTTAAGCTAGTATTTTGTAGCAGAATATAAAAAGTGAAAAGGGTATATGAACCAAACATTTAAAAATATACTCAGCAGGGAAAATAATTGATTTATGCTGAAATTTATGATTTTCTGATCAAAATTGTAAGCATTACAACCTATTACTCAAACTGAGATTCTGAGGTCCCTCTTGAAAAAAGTATATCCTATATATATATATTTAAAGACATGAAAATAGTACCCCCAAAAATTTAACCATTTTAGCATTCTAACTATATAAATATATATACATATATATATATATATATATATATATATATATATATATATATATATATATATATATATATATATATATATATATATATATATATATATATATATATATATATATATTATATAATTATATATATATATATTTATATATATATATATATATATATATATATATATATATTATATTTATATTATATATATTATTTTATATTATATATTATATTTATACGATATATTATATTTATATTATTGGAATATGCATATAGTTATATATATATTTTATAGTTATATATATATATTATAGTTATATGCATATAGTTATATATATATTATATAGTTATATAACATATATATATATATATATATATATATATATATATATATATATATATATATATATATATATATATATATATATATATATATATATATATATATATATACATATACATATATACATTTAGTAAGAATATAAAAAGTTAGTAAGAATCATAACAACCTTCTTATTGCAACTGTCAATGCTGAAGAAGAATATGCACAAGGACATAAAGTTTCCTTCCGTAATCCCTTACTTTCAAACAAGTTAAAAAATGAATCACAAGCAGAAAGTGCCCCTAAAGTAAAACTTACACTAATAATAAAAAATAAAAAAAATGAACTGAAAAAAAAAATTAAACTATAAATTAATAAATTTTAATAACAAAAGACATACCATATTAATAACATTAATAACATAAATAAATGTTAATATATTTATATTCTTACAAGGATTGGCTTTATCTGAAAGTAGTAACATCCTCAGTGATGATAAATTAAAATCTTTTTGCTCTCGTCCATGATGTAATGTGTAATGAAGATCTTTGGATGCAACAACACAGCACGTTGCTAAAACAAATCTTTAGAAATTTAATATGATAAAGATTTTTGACTTGCTTTAATACTATATTACTTATTGCGAGTTGATATTAAATATAAAGTTTTAATGCTGGCAGTTAGTTAATATCTAATTTTGTATATTGAAAGGTCATAAAATTTGTGGTAAAAGTTGCTTTTTAAATTAATTCACAAAATCCCTAATCTGTCCTCATAAACTTATAGGTAGCTGTATGGCTACTTTGACCAGAGCCAGTATAACTTTATATAACTATATATATATATATATATATATATATATATATATATATATATATATATATATATATATATATATATATATATATATATATATATATATATATATATCCTTAAAGTGTAGTCGAAAGTCTTTTAATGTAAAAAAAGTCTCTTTCGACTACAATTTTAATTACCTCGTCTTTTAAGCTGTATTTGATTGTCGTCGAAATGTCAAAGCAATTAAATTAATGCGGAAGTACATTAAATTTTATTGTTTTTTAAAAATTTTTTCAAAAACCGCAATAATAACGACTAGAAAGTTTTTTTTAATTAGTAGTGGTTTTGTTTTATTAAAAAACATTTTTAAAACATGCGTAAATGTTGCTATATCGACTATCTTATAGCCTGACTCGCAACGGAATGCTGCTACATCGACTGACAAATAGCCTGACTCGCAAGGGAGTGCTGCTACATCGACTGGCAAATAGCCTGACTCGCAAGGGAGTGCTGCTACATCGACTGAGGGTTTGGGCAGGCAGTCTATCATTTTAAAAAAATTTAAATTTTCAAACTTTTTCTGGTCTAGTTTATTAACACGCTCTTTAAAACTACAGTTTATGAGAAACTCTTTTTAACTACCATGCAAGAGTATATATATATATAATATATATATATATATATATATATATATATATATATAAATATACACTTATATGTTGAATATTTAAGAAAATATATATATTTTCCATATATATATTTTATATCATTATTTAGCACATATTGATGTTATTATATGCTAAGTTTCATGGTTTTTACTTGAAGTTTTACTAGCTTTTTTGTGTCTTTTTTTTTTGTCGGGACAAAAAAAAAAAAAAACACAAAAAATATATTATATATATATATATATATAATATCATATATACATATATATTTTATATCATATATATATATATTTTATATCATATATATATATATATATATATATATTTTATATCATATATATATATTTTATATCATATATATATATTTTATATCATATATATATATATATTTTATATCATATATTTATATATATATATATATATATATATATATATATATATATATATATATATATATATATATATATATATTTTATATCATATATACATACATACATATATATGTATATATTCTATTTTACAAGCTTTTTTGTGTATTTTTTTGTTGTTGGGATGGTTGTAACAAAAAATCCAATGCTTAAAAACAACAAATATAATGACAAAATCAATGATGTAAGAAAAAAATTATAAATAATTATTAACAACCATATATAATATGTTAAAAAAATGCAATAAAACATTATCAAAGTATTCAATTATGGGATATACGGTACAATTTTCAACACTACACAACAGGACTGTAAATAAGCGTCAAAACAAGTTTATACAACCCTTGCAACTTTAAAACCATGCTATGGTATGATAAAATGATTTTTTTAAATAACTTTTTTGCTTAAAAGTATTTTAAAATATTTAAAAAGAATAGTATACAACCCTTACAACTTTAAAACCATGCTATGATATGATAAAATGATTTTTTTAAATAACTTTTTTGCTTAAAAGTATTTTAAAATATTTAAAAAGAATAGTTTTGGAGTTTAGTATGTGTTTTCATAACTTTTTCGCTATTATATCTATATATATATATATATATATATATATATATATATATATATATATATATATATATATATATATATATATATATATATATATATATATATATATATATATATATATATATATATATAGGCTTGGCCAGGAAGGCATGTGATTTCATGCCATTATATGACCACACAAATACTCTGTGATTTTGAAAACTTAATCACAGCTGTTAATACGTTTTGAAAGTTTGTGTAAATTTTATAAACGCGCTAAAAAAATTTGTTAACTTAACTATGAAAAAGGTGAAAAAAAAACTTAACATAACAAAAGAAAATAAATCTTTGTAAAAAATAAAAATTAAAAATAAAATAAAAATAACTTAACCAAAACTAAATATAAAAAAGTAAAACTAAAATTTAACTAAAATAAATAATAAACTATAACAATAAGATTATCTAAATTACATTCTGAATAAATAACTTTGAATCGCTTATCTTTACTAATGTTTTTATAATACAATATTATGCAAAAACCTTTTTAAATAAAGTAACAACTTGCATCTAAAGATTGTTTCATTTAAAAGCTAAAAAAAAGATTCTTAACAATTCTTCGCAGTAAGGTAAAAAAAAAAAAAAAAATTTGTTTATTTAAAAAGTGGATATAAATTTTTTTTATTTAAAGACATTAATAATAAAAAACACACACTTACATAAATATTAAAAAATATATTTTATTCAATAAAATTTTTGTAAAAAATCATTAGCAGGGATTCGTTACTCTATTAAAATGCATTTCAATAATATAAAAACATAAGTAAAGATCAAAGTTATTTAATACAAACGGCTTTCAAAAATGTTTGTCTTTTTTTTTCTTCTCAATAAAATAATTTTATTTTTCAGGTTAATTAACTTAAATAAAATCTATTTAAGAGACCATTGCTGTTTAAAGTCGTTGCTTGTAAAATTTAAATTTCTAAAAATTATTTTTCATTTTTTTAATTTATATTTATTAGAAAATCTTATATAATTAAATAATATAAATAAAAGTTTATACAACTTTCAACGATACTTTAATTAAAATCATTAACATGTATAAAACCCTTGGAATTAGCAAAAATGTCTTTTAGAGGTCGGCATCAGGTCCGAAAAAAAATTTGATAAAGGTCTTACCATAAAACATACAAACAAGGTCAGCCATTTTTTAATTTTTTTTTCAGATTTTCACTTCCAACAAGGCTGGAAGCAACCAGTTGTTGGAAGTTACTGGAAGAGAAAAGATGAAGTTTGTAGAGCAAGATAATGATTGACAGACAACTTAAAAGATTGCAAATTACATGAATCAGCAAAGCAAGATAAATGAAGAGAATATAAAGAACTGATGTTCAAGCAAAAAAACTAGACTAATAAGAGTTTTTGGAGCACTTAGGAACAGTCACAGAAAAGGATGAGACTTGATTGAGTGACAAGTAACACAAGAATAAATTTTAGTAAATGGCACAAGAGACGCTAGCTCTATAGAGCAGTGCCCATTATAATATTTGTAGAAAAGAGAAAGAGAAGTAACCTTATGGCGATGTGATAATAGTTGGAGATTGGCTGCAAGAGCAGGTCCAGCGATGTTTAAAATGCGATTTTACACTTTGTCTAAGAGAAAGGGCATCATTATAAGATCCGCCCCAGATATCGCAATAGTATTCCATACAAGAACGGCTTTGAGATTTATAGAGATTGGATTTGAGATTAATAGAATCCAGAGAAAGAAAGTGTTGAGCACAATAAAGAGATGCAACCTTAGCAGATGCTAATTTTGCTATGAACTTGATATACGATTTCCAAGAAAGATCAGAAGTAGGAGTTAATCCTAGAAGATGATGGGTAGATGACTCATCAAGTACATTACCGTTCATAAATATGGGAAGATCTAAATTATTGTGATAACAATTGGCTGAAAAAAATTGAGTTTTTTCTTGAGTTAAAGTTAACCAACCACTGTGAGCCCCATGGTATAGCAGAAGTGAGATCCTTTTCAAGCTCAAATCCCCCTTTCGAGCAATCAGAGTGTTGGCTCCTTATCATGACAAGAATAAACGGTAGCATCATCAGCAAACAATGCTACCTAGAATATCTGAAATGCTACCTAGAATATCTGAAATGCTACCTAGAATATCTGGAATGCTACCTAGAATATCTGAATATCTGGAATGCTACCTAGAATATCTGGAATGCTACCTAGAATATCTATGCTACCTAGAATATCTGGAAGATCGTTAATGTATATTAAAAAGAGCACAGGGCCAAGGATTGAATCATGAGGAAACCCTGAAGTTACAGGATATGTAAAAAAGAGCTGTCTATCAAGGACAACTTTTATACTACAGTTGGAAAGGAAGGGCTCAATAATCTTAAAGATATTACCAGATACACCGTAAGAAGAAAGCTTATGGAGAAGACCAGCATGCCAAACTTTATCAAAAGCTTTAGAAATGTCAAAAGCAATAGCCTTAAACTCTCCACCTCTATCTAATGCACGATAAAACCTATTGGTTATTATTTTAAGCAAGTCAGCTGTAGAACAAGAAGATTGAAATCCATATTGATGATCAGAAAGTAAGTTATTAGATTCAAGATTCAAGATTAAATGTTTGTTAATTAAAGATTTAAAAACCTTGCTTATGATAAAAAGAAGGTAGTTAGACGAGTCAGATCACTCTACAGAATTTTTAAAAATAGGGATAACAGATGCCGCTTTCCAGCATGCCGAAAAACAAGACTCTGATAAGCACTTGTTAAATAGTTTTGAAAGTATGGATGACAGCTCCGGAGAGCACTTCTGCAAGGCTACAACAGGTATATTGTCTGGACCACAAGCTGTAGAACAGTCTAAGCAGGAAATCACTTTAGATACAGAAGCTGGAGTAATACGAATGTCAAGCAATGAATCAACCAGTTTGACGGCTATATCAGGTAGAATGTAACTAGTGGAATCAAGAGATAATATCGATGAAAAGTTCTCAGCAAACAATTCAGCTTTGCCTTTAAGTGAGCTGACAAAATCTGAACCATACAAGAGAGGTAAAATAACAGATTTGCCCTTATTATTAATACTGTTAAAGATTCTCCAGAAGCCACAAGAGCATAATTTTTGTGATAAAATTTTGTGAGATTTTATGACCTGAAAATAATGAGCTTTGGCATTATACAAAACCTCTTAACAAAGACCCTAATTCCAAGGGCTGTATGTATGTGTGTGTATATATATATATATATATATATATATATATATATATATATATATATATATATATATATATATATATACATATATATATATATACATATATATATATATACACATTAGGCCTTCCCAGAAAGCGTGCAGTCGCACGCCTTGTTCGTCCACATTTAAAGTAATTTTTTTAGACTAACTAACCACAGCAGTTTGCATCTTTTAACTTATAAAGCATTTCGATAATTAGAAGAAAAAAGCTAAACTTATTTACTAAGAAAAAAAACAAATTTTAAATAAGGAAACAAAATTGTAATGAAATACCAAGTTTAATTAAATAAACTAGAAAATTTATTAATTAAAAAGTAAATTAGAAAAAAAAACGTTTTTTAATTTTTATAATAAAAAAAAAATTTTTCTTTAAAGTTGTTGTTGAAAAAAAATCTTTTATAACAATTTAACAAGAATCGAATGTTTTGATATGCAATTCATTCACAATTTTTATCATTCCATGTAATTAAGAAACTAATTTGCTATGTACGCAAGAACTATAAGAAATTTTTTTTCTTACTTTTATTTGTTTACTATGTTTATTTGTTTTTATTTCTTTTCGCTTTTAAAAAAGATTTTGCTATATTTGTCACTTTTTTCCAATACTTATATAAGAAAATAAGAAAATAAATTGATATTTATTGGTAAAAAATATTATTTGATTAATAAATTTTGTTAATGACGGAATAACTTAAATAAAAGAATAACTTCTTTAATAAATGTATTTATCGCATTTGATGCATGTATGAAATTGTTTTTTTTATATTGCCTAATTTCCAATGTTAATATAAATTACATAACAATTTCTTTGCTTAAAAAAATGTATTTAAATTAACTTAAATTTTAGAAAGGCTCCTAAAATTTTGTTAAGAAAGTTAAGTAAATTAACAAAGCGCTCGCCTACAAAACTTTGCAGCATTATTTAATTTTTTTACATAAAAAACTTGTAAAAAATAAATAAAATTTTTCACAAATAAATAGCAATTAGTTTTCTCACTTTCCTGTCCATTGATAAAAACAGTAAAGTTTAGCAAAAATATTTGTAAAACAAATTTAAAAACTGTCCATGTTTCTAGCAATTTATAAAGTATTTCCTTTATATACTGACTGAAAAAAGTTGCGAAAAAATTGTAAATCAAAAAATATTTTTATTTCCGTTATATTCTGATCTACTATTTTCCTCGACTTGTATCAATTTTGGTAGTGGAAAATAACAAACGCTCTAAAAAAAAGAAAACAGAAACAGTAAATATTTAGGGATATTATGTTTTTGACAACAATTTTCCTTATTTTCTATTAATAATATTTTTTAGCTTAATTTTATTTAGATTTTCTATTTTGTATAGTTTTCAGTTCTTTTCCTCCAGTATTGCTGATTTATTCTCTAGTTTCTTATAGCTTTATTTTTCCACGAATTTTTAAAACGCTTACTATATAAAAATGTGGTTGTTGTCTAAAAATTACTTTAGGCGTGGACGTACAAGTGGTGCGACTGCACGCGCTTTCAGGGAAAACTTGATACATGGAGCTTTCTTAAGTATTTAACATATAATTATCTATTAAATTAATCACTCAATTTAATTTCATCAATAAAATTGATAAAAATTATTTTTCTTAGTTGTTCAAAGTATCCATACGGCTACCATCTTTTATTCAAAAACTCTGTATGTCAGCAAATACAAAATAGCAAAAAATTTTTGTTTGTTATTTTAGCAAACTAGTCAAGAAAATAATAAAATTAAAAAAGGTTTTAAGTTTTACTTAAAAATTAATGTTTTTCCAAGTTTCTTCTTAATTTGCAATTGAGTGGGTCAAAAGCCAAGGGGTACAAGTGACACTTTCATAGTTTTGAGATACAGCTGTTTAAAGTTAAAGTATTTTTGTTAATTATACTCAGCTGTTGTTATGTTTTTCCAGTAGAAAGCAGCACAGGGCAGAGATTCACTTGTATCCTTTGGCCACCAACAATTTTGTTTGCTTCTTCTATCAAATTCTATACTTAACTTAATTTTGGTAAAATTTGGTAAAATCACTTGTACCCCTTGGCTTCTGACCCACTCAATTATAATTTAATTTTTTTTTTTTTGACAAAAAATTTCTATAAAAATAATTTTTATATTTACCTTAAAGCTTTAAAAAACCTTAAATACCTAACAAATCTCTGCTAGTTTGACTAGTTAACAAGAGTTGTTTTTTAAAAAATGGCTAAACTCACAAATATGTCTAGCAACAGCAATTTTTAAAGATGATGTTTTGGAATGAGATGACATTTTCCCTTTCCCTTTGTTATTAAATTATTTTATTAAGATTCACCCTTTTGCCAATCAGCCACCCTTGGGCCAATCAGCCACCCTTTCTGATTAGTATTCAGTCACCCTTTCTCTATAAAATTCAGTGAACTTTTATAAATTTGATTAAATCCACAGACTTATTATAAATACTTATTTAATCAAAATTATACAAAAAGATAGAAAGGGAGGGGAGAGGGGCAAAGTCCAAAAACAACTTTTTTGAAACTTTTTAACAGTTAAGCCAAAAAATATTTTCTACAGTTAATCATTAAAATTTTCTTAAATATTATTTTATACTGGTTTTGAAATGCATAATTATTTTTCATTTTAAATATCAAGCAACCTACTTAAAATTATAAAAGTAATTATTTTGACAAAAACAAATAGTTAACTATTATAGTCAATTAAGTATAACCAAAGTAGGAACATTTTTTGGATATTCCCTTTTCTTTTCTTTTTTTTTTTTTTTTTTTTTTTACAAATTCACTTCCAACAAGGCTGCATGTAACTACTATGTTGCGAGTGAATAGCAGGTGAATGATTGACATTAGACTTAAAAAACTGTTCAACGTTTCAAGAAAACAAGAAAGAATTCTAAAGCACTAATGTTGGTGCAAAAAAGGTTGATAGCTGGCTTGAGCAGCAACCATGATAGCATTTGTAAATACAACCATGGTTGATAAAAAAATACAACCTTACAATAAGACAGAGGCTCAAGCTTAGCAGATATTTCCAAGAATATTTACAATACATTTTTGGATTTGTTTAAAACAGAGAGGACCTCATTAGAGGAATCAACCTATATATGAAAATAGTATTGCATACAAGGACAAGAGATTTATAGAGACAGAGAATAGAATAAGGATATGAAAAGCACAATAAAGAGAGGCAACTACAGCAGACACTAACTTTGCAATGGATTATACAAATGGAATAAGTTTTTGTATAGATTGTTTTTGTATAGTATAAGTAAATAAACTTTTATAAAAGTTTATTTAAGTTTAATATCTTTAAACAAAAAATAAAAGTAGAAGAGTAACCAAAAATAAATTATCCAAAAATAAACTTATTTTAATAAATTTAGTTTATTCTAAATAACTTTTCTCAAAAAAATTAGGAATAACTGGTTAAACGAAAAATATAGAACTTTAAATCCTCTACTTATCTTAATTGTACAAATAAAATTGTTCAATTTTATTACATAACATATCATAATAAAAAAAGTTTTAAAAAGTTTTAAATTATTGTATACTTTGTTAAATTAAAAATTAAAATACTCAACTACCTCTCATTTTTGAGATAATCTGAAGCCACATTGTAGGAAAACTTATTTGCACATTAGGAGGGATAAACACAACATGTACACCATTTAATATACTCTAGACGAAAATATATATATATATATATATATATATATATATATATATATATATATATATATATATATATATATATATATATATATATATATATACTAACTATATTAAGACACTATGTGCATTTTTATTTGTACTTTAAATAGATTGTATATTCTGTGATACACAAAATACACCTTTATGAGCATGTCACTGCCCTAGTTAGAGTCGAAATTGATCAAGCTGAAGTCCTGCTAAAATTTAATGCATTTTATTAGATAAAGGTTGTCAAGAAAGTAAGTTAGTTTATGCTATTATAATGGCTGAATAAACAACCAATAGATGACTTACTTACAATATTAGATGGTTGACTTGTTTATAATAATAGATGGCTAAAAAGTTTATTAATTTTTGATTGAACAGTTAGACTTTTTTTACTACTTTAGATATATGGTATGTGATAATAGTTACAGTAATCATAAAATAAAACACATTGAAATAGTTAAAATGTTACAGCAAAAATAGAATGCCATAAACCAATATCTTTCTTGAAGTCTACAATGCTGAGCATAACTTCCCCTATAAAAGAAAAACAATTTTAGAAAATCAATTTCTAAAGGTTAAAAAAATAAAATTTAAAGGTTTATATTAAACTATAAATGCAAAAACAAATGCTAACTTAAAAGTTTTAATGACAGAGCGAAAATACAAAATAAACTCATTTTAATGTAATTATTACAAAATATTTTTTTTGAAACCAGTTATTTTTATTTTATTTAATAAATGATTTATAATTTAAAATTTTTAATTGAAATAATTATATATAATATTATTAAAATTTTTTAATTAAATTAAACTTTTATAAAAACATCTTTTTTTTTACAAACTTAACAAGTTGCAGTAAAAAAATATACAAACAAATTGAACAATGTGTATAAAAACTGTGTATAAAATAATAATTAACAATACTCCCTAATAAATAGTACCCCTAATACATTATAAACAACTGATACAACTTTCATTGATTGAAGTACAAACATCTATTAACTTTCTTTAAAGCAGTTTTATATTTTAATAAAACTTATTCTTATTTCAATTAAATTTTGATAATAATAATAATAATTAGTAATTATAATTGAGTTTAATATTTATTTTAATATTTAAGTTAATATTTAACTTTCAACTTTCAAAAAATATTACTCATATATCTAATGTTTATGTGCTACATCAACCACCAAAAATCAACTTCTAAAAACGTTACATTTTAATGAAACTTCTAATTTCATGGTCATTATTTATATAAATATGAATACTCTGACCTAACTTTTTTTCAGACCTTTTTTTTCAACTTTCTATTTCATAAACACATTGCATCAAATAAAGCCTAAAGTACTTTAAAACTAAGGCTTCTCTTTAAAGGGATCCCAAACCTCCAAGACATGATGTGTTCACATTAAAGAGAATGATAAAAAAAATGTTTGGGCTAAATTTTTTTGATTAAAGCAAAAGAATAAATGCATACCAAGAAAAACTAACTTTTTTGCTTTAGTCGAAGCTCGCCTCTTCTCTGTTTTGTTGTAGGCCAATTTTTCTTCTTAATATATGTTGCAATCTACATAATATATGTTGCAATCTACAGACTTGATAATTTACTAAAGAGCGTTTTATTTTTATGAGTTTAAGTACATGACAAAACATGTCTTGAAGGTTTGGGATCCCTTTAAACATTTAATTTAAAATGATGTAATAAGTTTATTTAGTTATATTTACAAATAACAAAATGAAGTATATCTTAAAATGCCTAAATTATACAAATCTGAAACTTTTAGAATCCCATTAACATAAAAAATTATAAGTGTTTCATTTTTTCTAATTATTTTTGCATTTAAAATTTTGAAGAAATAAATCATAAAAAAGTTTATAAAAATATTAAAGAATAAAAATATGTAGAGCAATTTTGGACATGGAATAATAAAAACTTATAAAATCAACTTTTCTCTTAGAGAAGTAGCCTTGTTCATCAAGGTTTGTGCTTCAAAGTTATAAGATTAAGAAGAAAATACAAATTTTACTACACGTTTAGCTGAAAGATGTCTGCCTAATTTTAACAAAAAAATATTTTGAATTAAATCAATTAATTTCAGAAATAATCATCAGCTTTCATAAACTGAAAATCAAAATAAATAGTAAAATTACAAATAGTAAATTGTTAAACTTTGGTACCGAAGTTTAACGAATACTACTATTCGTTAAAGAAATACTACTATTTGTTAAACGAATGGTAGTATTTGTTAAAGATTATTATTTGTTAAACAAATAGTACCATTACTTAAACAAATATTACTATTAATATGAAGTTTAATGAATAGTAATTTTAGTTAAAAATGTGTATACATATTTAATGAACACGCATATTTCTTAAATATATGTATTCATATTAAATAGTCCAGGCTACAAGCTGATTTTCAAGATGTTAGCAGTAAACCCCATTTACATCGAATCTGTATTAAGATAAAATCTTTATTGTATTATATAAAAGCAACTTCAAAATGTCAATTCTATTTGATCAACATTAATCCTAGGTAAAATATAAACTTGTCTTTAATATTAAAAATAAAAATGACAATAATGACCATGGTGGTCAACGTCTTTTTCTGAAAAATAATTAATCAGAATTATCATCATTGCTTTACTAAGACCTAATTTGGCTTTACTAAGACCTAATTTGGATATATTTTACTATATATATTTAAAAAAATATATGTTAAAGTAAATTTATTATAGTACAACACATCTTTTTCCTTCTCTCAAAGGACTTGATTTTAGAACAGGAATAAAATATTTGGTAGAACAACAAACAAGATGCATTTGAGCTGAATACAAATTTTTAAACTTTTTAAAAGCAAAAAAAATTTGAATTGTCTAAAAACAAGAGGCCACAGTTAAAAAAATTCAAGAAATCTTGCAAAGAAATGCTGTAAAAGTTTCAATTATATATTGAACTGTATAATATATAGAATTTTAAAATATTAAACTTTTTTAAAGAATTTTAAATCTATTTTTATCTCTATCAACATAAGTCCTCTTAAAATGTATGGTGTTCCTTGTGATTTGCTCTCAGTAAAAATTTATTTAACAATTAAATTATTTTGAATTATAATTACATAAAAACAGCCAGATGAAAATTTTAATATTTAACAAATATTACAGAAATGAAAACTGCTTTATTTAAAAAAAAATTATAAATAAAAAGAAATTTAAACTAAAAACAAGAAACATTTTGGTTATGGTATCAAGCATATGGTGATCTGGCCTAAAATGATCTATATCTGTATTACAGAATTCACTTGTTCATTAATCAACCCTCGGAATTAGAAAAAATGAGGTCGGCAATAGTTTGCCAAACTCAATCTTTTTGTAATTTTTTTTATTGAATTTAGAAAATATTTTTTAACCAATGAGGATATGAAACAAAGAAGAGTGCATTTTTGTATACCTTCTGTATATCCACAAGTTTGAGTTAATATTACTGTATGCATAAACATGGCATCACGAGTCACAACAACTCCAAGCGCGCTACCATCTTTATCTACTGTATGCTGAATAAAAAAAGATACAATAATATAAAAATTATATATATATATATAAATATATATATATATATATATATATATATATATATATATATATATATATATATATATATATATATATATATATATATATATATATATATATATATATATATTTAATTATATTATATTTAGATGAATAAAAACAACTGATTAGTGGAACTTAAAGTTTCATACCCGATGGCAATTATCAGCTAATAGCTGGTATTAACTGGCTGATGATTGCCTTAGGGCATGAAACTTCCAAAAGTCCAGCTAATCAGTTGTTTTTATTTATCTAAATAAAATATAATTATATATAGCACTATTATTCAGTAATATTGAGCACTGTAACACGTACAAGAGACTTATTACTACATCAAAATACTTAACCACAAATATATTCTATATATCGATATCTATACAAATATACATATGTATATATATATATATATATATATATATATATATATATATATTTATATATATATATATATATTTGTATATATATATATATATATATATATATATATATATATATATATATATATATATATATATATATATATATATATATATATATATATATATATATATCTATCATAGATTATCTTAGTCATATTTTAAAAATCCGGAAAATGGTTTGGAAAAAACATCCGGAAAAAATCCGGAATTTATTTTCCCTTATTTTCTTTTTAATTTCGCTTTTAGTTAAGTTGTTTCTAATTCTTTTTTTGTTACTTTTCATTATTTTTTTTAAGCGATGAGTGAAAAAGCTTAAAAAATAAATATATTACAAAAATATATACCTCATCTTGCATGTATTGAAAATATTTTGGATATCCGGAAAAACTAAAAGTTGAAAAAAATATCCAGAATTCCGGAAATATCCGGAAAAAGATAATTCCTGATATATAAATAGGAAGAGGTGTTTTTTCACTAATTAAGCAAAATTTGTCAAGATTAGCTAACAGCTATTACTTGAGCTTCTACCATCAATCTTGACAACATCACTAAACCCACAAAAATGTAACTTTATTGACTAGAAAGCTTTTGCATTTTTAATCAAAAATTTTTTTGCTTTAAATATTTATTTCTACTAATGTTTTACTTTATTTTCATGTTTTTTGTTTTATTGACAGAATTATTTTATATAGATTTAGTGAGTGTATACAGTGGACACTCATCAACTGATTTAGTCATAAGCACAGTAAAGTATAAACACATCAACTGATTTAGACATGGGCACAGCGAGAGTACACCTATAAACTAATTAATTTAACCATGGGTACAGCTAAGTGAACATATATTGATTGAGGATTTTGGCTTGGGGTATTTAATTTATGAACTTTTTCAAGTTTTAAAATATCTCTTGTCATCGCCATTAACTTTTTTAAGCATGGTAGAGATTTATAATAGCAAAAAAAAAAATTTAACCATTGCAACAAATGTAAAATATTAACTATTGCAAAGCTAGGGCAAAACTTTTAAAAAAGCTCTTTATTGATGTAAAAACCATTGTAAAACTAAGGGATAACTCTAAAAAAAACTTTTTATAAATGTAAAAACCATTACAACATTATTATGCAAACAAAATGCAAAACAAAACCTTAATCTTAAAAATCTACATTAGTGTAAACATGGAGCAAATGCAAAACTTTATTTTAAATTTTCTTTAATAATATTCCTAAACCTAAACCATTTTTTAATCTAAAATTATAAAATTCACAATAGCATTTCCTCTGTTGTGAGAATAGGACTTTTCCATGTTATATGTTTCCTTTCCTCAAACTCAAACACTACAGCCAACAATAAAAACAAGAATTAATTGTTCTGTATATTAGGGACCTGCAAATAATGAAAAACAACTTTTAACAATAATATAAAGAACTTTTGAAATCTGTTGTCATTTTGTTAAATAAAAAAATACTGATGGAGATAGAGAGGAAACAGAAGAAGGAGGATCATACAAAACAAATCATTCATTCTAATATCAATATTAAATTTAACACAAAAATTTTCTTGATTGTTTTTTTTTCTATTCATTTTGTATCAACTTTTATTTTTTGTTTTTATTTTTACCTCGTTAATTTTTACTCTTTCAAGATTCTATTCATTATTTCTAACATTTTTAATTATTTGATACAAATTTTCTTGCTACTAAAAGTCATTGAAAAAAAAAAATTTAACTACAAAAACCAAAATACTTCAATATAAGCTGCAGTCTTTTTATCTTTAGCCATATGAGGAGGATGCCAGTCTCTAGGAGGTTTACTTAGATTCTCTGTGAAAAACCATAGTACTTTTGGCCATCCTCGAAAATTAATTACATTTGAACTACCTTCCTCTTTAGGCAGGTTTTTGAAACATGACTCCGATGTTAACATCCAGTGAACACCGCAACTACCCAACAAAAATCCTATCTGTTGTAAACCAGCATCCTAAAAAATAATCATTTATTATAAAAAAAAAAAAAAAATGGAGAAGAGATATCTTACAAGTTAAATTCAACGACTTACATCTTTTCGTATTGGAGGATGAATAGGAACTGGTACAACACCAGCAAATAAACACCCATAAAAAGCACATGTAAAACCAACAATATCATCTGAGCTATACATCAAACCAACCTTAAAAAAAAGTAATTAGGTTTATAATTTGTTGCTTTTGCTCTAACTTATTTTCACTTAACAACCAAATAAAGTAAAATTGTTATAAAAAAAATTTAAAGACTATTGATCAATACCCTATCTTCTAACATAATCGAAGTGCCATCTTTTGGGCTTCCTACTTTATGGAGCAAAGCATATGCAATTCTATAACTGCGAGTTAACAACTTCCCTAACCATAAAAAGAAAAACTAAAGTTTCAAAATATGAATAATAAATGAATATAACAGAACAATTGTACAATTTTAGAAATGATAATAGTTTGTAGCTGTAGAATACTACACAAGTGAAAAAATATTAATTTTTTTAGCTGTAAAAAAACTCTGAACAAATCAAAAAATGAAAATTTTTAGCTAATTGTAGAACTTTATCACTATGATTGGTTGAAATTTGAACAATTTTAAATTGATTTCTTTTAAAAACCACTTTATCATTAAACTTTTTGTTTGTTTTAATGATACATACAAAAAGCTTGATGTATGTGGGTGTAGTTTTGTTTACATCTGATTAATTTTTTGAAATGTTGAGTAAAAAGCCTAAAAACTAAATATTGTTTTGAAATTTTAGATAAAAAATCCAATGTGCTCATATTCAACAATTGCAAAAGCATGTGGTAGTTCCGAAATCAACTGTTCTAATTAAACAGAAAACATAAAAGTGGTGGAAAATCAAGATTTAATGACAAAAAAAAAACATTAATTAAAATTTAACATAGACACACTAACATGATGAAACTTACTGTAAAAAATATCACTTGATGCTTTCAGATAATCACTACTATTATTAGTCAAAACATTACAAAAGCATGATAGATTTAAAAAGATTTAAGTACATTCTAGTCAAAAAGTCGCTTGCAAGTTTCTTGTATGGCAGGCTATTTAAAGTTGTGGCTTTAAAAGCTCTCCTTTCATAACAAGTCAAACTTCAAAACAATCAAAATCAGACTGAATGCTTGGAAAAATAATTTCTCTCTCTAATTATAAAAACATGAACAACCAAATTCATTTTGGTCAGATCTGGCATCAATCTACTATTCCAAAAAAGTAAAATTGATTGTTTAAATTAAGATATATATCTAAATAAGAGTAAATGTTGTTTCAGACAATTCCAAAGATCCACTGAACTATTCTGAAAAATGAGTAATCATATCTTATTTGGCAATAATGAAGGAAATACTGAGGAAAAGAGAAAGAAATGTAAAAGTTGTGTTATAAATTTTTAAAATTTATAAGTTAACATTATATAAAAATGATACAAAAAGTCAAATTGAGGATTTAATGGGAGTTACTTTACATAAAAATTAAATTTCTTGGATACTTTTTTATTGTTGTTGTTGTTGCTGAAATAACTATATATGTACTAAATATGTACACATCAATATTAGGGTACTTGCTTGTGAGGAAATTTTTGAAATTCAATTAACTAACCCTTGAAATTTGGAAAAAAATTGGCCTGATTGGACTACTATTGTGCCACCCCCAGACCCCTTTTAATTAAAAAAATTGTTACAGAAAAAATTTTACATTGTCTACAGCACCTAATAGCATTGATCTTACTTGTTTTCTCTTATCAATGGGAAGAAATTTGAGTCAATAACCATGGGTAAAAAGTTTTTTTCATCATTTGTTATATTGTAAAAAATTTCTTTCATCATTTGTTATATTGAGATTATCATGAGAAAAGAGTCTCTTATTTAAAGATTCTATAAGTTGTTTTGTTATTTGAATTGCATCCTCTTTTTGATCAACTTTTGATAAAAATCTTTGTAAACTACATATATTTGGAACTACTGTTGATAAACTGCAAAGCTGAGAACTCATAACATTAGTAAGTTTATAAAAAGGTTTTAAAACATGTAATAAATTTTTAATGATTTTCCAATTAATTGATGAGAATGTTTGCAATTCATTATGATCAGCTAAATATATTTGAACTTTGAAGTCTTTGAAGTCTTACTAACATTAAAGGGATCGCAAACTGCCGAGACAAGTTTTGTTCATATTAAAGAAAATGTCTAAAAAAATGTTTGGGCTGAATTTTTTTATTTAAACTAAATAATGAATGTACACCATTAATTTTAGTCGAAGTTTGTCGTCTTTGATAATTTATTCCATGAGTGTTTAATTTATAACAGCTTTGGTATATGACGTCATGCAACATCTTTTTAGAAAGCGTTTTTTTTTTTTAAAAGATATAAGTATTTTTTTTACTACAATCTGAAAATCAAATATTTGCATAACTTATTAATAATATAATTTTTTACTAAATCACAAAAAATATTTGTGATTTAGTAAAAAATTATACAAGTATATTTATATATATTTTTATATTTATAATTTTTTTTTTTACTTGCTGTATTATTACTTTGTTTTAGAAGCCAGCTAAATTCATGATACAATTATACATATTTTGTGATTATTAGAGTTCGCAAGCAGAAAAAAAATAAAGGCAGTATGATGCAGTTTCTTGTTTTATATTTAGTTCAAATAGTTAAAGAGTTGTTCTTTTTACAGTTAATTTACATTTAGTTATAGTTTAACTCTTTCACTACCGCAAGCTGGTAGCGGCTTTCAAGTATGCTTAAGAATTTATCTTGTTTTGTTCATAAAGTTCTATTCTAGATAATTTGTTTGTTCTAAAGGTTTATTCATTAAATGAGTATTGTTTCGAAATTAATTTTTTATTCACTATTTATAAAAATAATAGTTTTAAGCACATTGCATTTCTTATTGTTTAATGATGCGTGTTAAAAAAGTACATTTGTTTAGCTTTCTATTGAAATATAGTTTGTTATGCTTTTAAAGAGATTTACTATTCAAATTTTAATTAAGTGCCAATGTTATGCAATTCAAAGTTTATTCAAAAAATGTGTGGTCACTACTTAAAAGAATTTTGTTCGGCTGGTAGCTAATGAGTTAAATTGATTCTTCTTTTATGTTTTGTTTATATATATATGTTATAACTAACTTTAGTATATGTTAAATAAAAATTTTAGTAGAAATACTTGTTTTGAATCTTAACTTAGTTTAATTTCTACGATTATTAGTAAAATAATTTGTTTAATATTTATTTTCTACTTAGTTCAGTTTATATGTTTTATTCAAATCACTCGTATTTTATTCAGTTATTACTTTAAGTTAATTTATACACTTTATTATAGTTATTCTTTTAGTATGTAGTTTATATTTAGTTTAAACCATTTGTTATATATTAAATTTTTATTTTTATAAATTTAATTTTTAATTGTATCACAAACTTTTTGGGAGAATTTAGTAAAAAGTTATACAATTATTATGATTTGGTAATTGTGACAAAAAAATAATATCGTATCTTGAAAGAAAAAATATATACGATTACATCATATACTGAAACTGTTATGAATTAAATATGCATGGAATAAATTACCAAGTCTGCAGATTGCGGCTAACATTATACAGACTCCAAGAACCAAAAAAAAAATGGAGACGACAAGCTTTGACTAAAATGTGAATTTTAAAATTAATGGTGTGCATTGATTATTTAGTTTTAATAAAAAAAATTCAGCCCAAACGTTTTTTTTAGACATTTTCTTTAATATGAACACAACTTGTCTCAGTAATTGGTACGCACTATTTTAGTATACATCTTGAACCAAAAGTAGAGGTGTGTTTTCATTTTGTTGTTGTAGCAGTAACTTAAATTCTGTACATGTCTTTGATAAATGATTCAAGTGGCCTACTATCATTGGGCAGCGTGTACCACTGGTGGTACACACTAGACTGTCTCATTGGGCGGCGTGTACCACCGGTGGTACACGCCGGCGTGAACGTGTTAAATTCTCCTGCTGTTGATTCCTGTGTGAGCTTGAAAATGAAAATGTGAACCATAGAGTACATCTTTGTGTTCAATTTTTTTTTTTTTTTGATCCAATGATAAATGTTTCATAAGTTGAAGGATAAGTCTAAATATCTGAAGTAAAACTAATGTAGTTTGATTTAGCAATTTCATTAAAAACCTTATATCTGATCATACAATTGAGGAAGTGGTGTCTCCGAAAAAAAAATGCCTACATGGGATTAGGTAACTTGGTTGTAAAAAAGCCATGAAACTGATAAATCTCAAGCAATCATTAAAGCTTTTTTTTTTATATAGCTTTTTTTAAGCTATAAATAAAAAATAAAAGCTTCGACTTTTCATCATTAATACCCCATGTCTTTTTGACGTAATACTATCTTCAATCGATATCTGCTTTTTTATTACACTCATTTTCTTTGAAATCATTGCGCTACATTTTGAGCTTCCTCGAGCAGCTGAAGAAAATTTGATATAAATTTTTTTCCACTTAATGTAATTTACAATGAAATTTTTTGCGTGGTTATGCAGTGGAGTTATGGAAAATGACTTTTAACCAGATTTATTACATCCCCTGCTTATCTGCTTTCCGCATGGAATGCAAACTACTGTGGAATCACAGCTACCATTACGCTTCCAAACAAATCTTTCCATTTTAAAGGTTTATCACGGTAATATTTTGTCATAATAAAATATATATTTTAGGATTTGATAATTAAGAAATGTTATCCGAGACACCCCTAATAAATATATGTTTGGAGTTGACTATGTCTCTGAAAGTTAGTTACCTCAAACACCAAAAATTGCTGGATCCACCTCTGATATGCACAGTATGTTAAAAAATTGTTAGAATTATTTATGTAGTCTTTGAAAAAAATGCTTAAAAATCACTCAAATTTTAACTAATCATAGTGATACACAAATGAAAAAAAAGTTTTTAACATTCAACAAAAAAAAAAATAAAACTAAAAAAATACTTCTTTTAATAAAAAATTAAGGAAAACTACTTTTTTTTATCTTCAACACTTTTGTACTTCAAATACAATTAATTTCAAATAAAAACAATGGAACAAAATATGATTTAATTAAGCTTGAATTTCAAATTAAATTACAAAGCAATAAAACTTCTCTTGACAAATTTATTACTTTCAATATACCATCTAATGCTAAATAAACCTAATATTTCTATAAAGTTAAATTACAAATCAGTTATTTATATTTTGTTGCTATTAGCAACAATTATGTTGCCATTAGCAAAAAAAAATGAACTTGACCTAAAAATAAGAACTGAATAACTACCTAAAAATAAAATTTCATATTTCAAATCTTCTTGGCATTAATGGTAAAAATGTAGGTAAAAAACTTTTGACTTTTATAGTAGAATGCAACATCATTAAAAGAATGGAGACATAAAAGAAATGATTAATTTATTTGATGGTTTATAAACTCATTTGATGATTTTTTTTTACTATGTTAAATTAATACTACTGGTTTTTCAAGTTGCCAGCAAGTAAAGTTAAATCTTTTATTGTGCATTAGATAGATGTGAAGAGATAAGGCTATAGCTCTCGACATTCTAAAGCTTTAGAAAATTTGGCATGCCAGTCTTCTCCATAAGCTATCTTATAATCTTAAAGATATTAAAGCATATCTTTAAGATTATTGAATCATTCCTTACCAATCCTAGTATAAAAGTTATCCTCGATGGACAGCACTCCTCTTCATATCCTGTAACTTCAGGGGTTCCTCGAGGTTCTATCCTTTGATCTATACTTTTTTTTTATTTACATTAACAATATCTCAGAAATTCTCACATCTAAGGTGGCATTGTTCGCTGATGATACTACCAGTTATTCTTATCTTGATAAGAAGCCAACACTCTCTGAGTGCTTGAAGGGGGCATTTCAACTTGTTTCTCTGCGCAGCAGCTTTGTTCATCGAGGTTTATGTTTCAGAGTTATAGAGTTAAGAGAGGGTTGTAACTACAAAAGTAGCCTCCTTAACTGTAGTGGCCTTCTCGGCCTTAAGGAGGTGAACATTAAAAAAAACAAATTTAGAACTTAAAAAGGATGCTACAGCATGGGGGTCTCAGTGGCTGGTGAACTTTATCTCAGATAAAACTTTTTTAGCTAATTGTTATTGCAACCATCTAGATAGATAATTATGATTGAAAATGTACTTGATGAATCATCTACCCTTCATCTTCTAGGATTAACTCTTACTTCCAATCTTTCCTTTGATTCTTGGAAAACCATATATCAAATTTGTTATAAAATTAGCATCTGCTAAGGTTCCATCTCTTTATTATGCTCGCCACTCTCTTACTCAGGATTCTATTCTTTATCTCTATAAATCTCAAATTCGTCCTTGTATGAAATACTGTTGCCATATCTGGGATAGATCTTCCAATGATGTCCTTTCTCTTTTAGATAAAGTGCAAAAACGCATTGTAAACATAGTTGGACTTGCTCTTGCAGCCAACCTCCAAACACTATCACATTGTTGTAATGTTGTTTCTCTTTCTCTTTTCTATTAATACTATAATGGGCACTGCTTTAAAGAGCTAGTGTCTTTTGTGCTATCTACTAAATTTACTAAATTCATTCTCGTGTTACTCATCATTCAATTAAGTCTCATCCTTTTACTGCAACTGTTCCTAAGTGCTTCAAAAATTCTTATTTGTCTAGTTTTTTTCCTTGAACATCAGTCTTTTGGAATTCTCTTCTTTCATCTTGTTTTCCTGATTCATATAGTTTGCAATCTTTTCTCTTCCAGTAACGTCGAACTCTGGTGGTTACCATTAATTCCACTCTGGTGGAACTAATGGTGGTTGTTTGTAGCCTTGTTGGAAGTGAAGATATTGAAGAAGGAAAAAAAGTGAAATCTTTGCTGTTAATTTTAATAGCTAAAAAAACTTTCTGTAAATAAATGCAAATAAAAACTTAATACAATAAAGAACATTTCAATCCTAGGATCAATCCTAATAAACAGCATAAATAATTATGAAGTTTAAAAAATGACCAAGTAAATAATGAAAAAGTAAATCTTTTATTTAAAACTTATTTTGTATTTTACATCTTGAGATTTTAAAATTTAATCTTCTACTAATATTACAATCAAGTAAAAAAAAAAAATAATTATACAGTTGCAAATAAATTAAAGAGCAAAACTTACCATAAAGTAGAGTATAAGCAATTTTTCCATTTTGATCAACAACTGATATAGCTGGAGCTTTGTTTGAAGATGTTCCATATCTTCTGACAGCATCAATGAAAGAATTAGGTAATCCTTCAGATATCTAAACAATGTATATTATATACACAATGTTATGACAATATACTACTATATATATTTTAATTTTATACACAATATTTTGATTATATATGACTCTTCAATCCTGGGGAGATGGGCAATTGATTTACATGTAAAAAAAAAAAAAAAAGGAAAAAAATTATGCAAAATACAAAACAATATAATATGTCTCGAAAACTAGGTTGTCAAGCATATTTATTGCTTTGAGAAAAAAATAATTTATTGATACTTTAAAAAAAAAGGTAGTTACTTGTCTATAACAATCCTCTCAGTTTTAGCCAAGTAAATAAAAGAAAAAGTGGTAATTACTGTAATGATTCAAAGCATGAATATAAAATAAAAAAGTGTCCAGAAAGCTAAATTTAACCAAATTCTAAATCAATATCAAAAGAAAATAAATTTTTTAATTTGGGCAAGAAACCTTACTGAAAAATTTTATTTTATTCAAGTGATATTAGCAAAAATCATCATCAAATATAATAAGCAAGCCTATTTTTGCACAAGGTTTAACAGTAAATCTAAAAATCAATGAAGAAAATGCTCAAATCTTATTTATATCAACAATAAACCAAATTTTATTCTGGGGATCTCTCCTTTAACTGATGTCCTCAACAATCCAAAAAAGAATTTCTTGATAATTTCCATGTTAAAAAACTACTAAAATTTAAACATGGAGCAAATACAAAAAGTTTATATCAAAACTTTCAAATGATATTCCAAGACCTAGACCAATTGATAAAAAATGTGACTTAATTGTGACATTCATAAAATGCTTCAGTACTTAAGTAGATATTCAGAATAGGTAGAAAAAAATATTTATCTACATAAAATATTAGTATTAAATCTTTTACGAATACTATAAAAACTTATTGTAAAAAAATAAAACAGAAAAAAAAAACTTGAAAAATTTATTTACCAACAATTGTTCACCTATGGTTGGTTTGCTAGGTGCTCCTTCTGGAGTGGGAGCTGATGGATCTGGTTGAGTAACTAAACATATAAGATGTATATATATTATACATAGTGTATATATATTATACATAGTGTACATATATTATACATATATTATACATATATATATATATATATATATATATATATATATATATATATATATATATATATATATATATATATATATATATATATATATATGTATATATATATATATATATATATATATATATATATATATATATATATATATATATATATATATATATATATATATATATATATATATATATATATATATATATATATATATATATATATATATGTATATATATATATATATGTATATATATATATATATATTTTTTTTTTTTGCAGTATTTTACAATATATGCTTGATTTGAAGGCCCATAAATATGTAAATGCTATGATTTATAATGGCATGCAACTTTGATTAAACAAAGTAGTGTTACTTTGCGTTATACAAAAAACTGGTTTTTATCAGCATTGAGATAATTGCTTAAATGATGATTTTAAAATAATAATGGTTTTAAAACAATTTTTGAGTAGAAAATCAATGGGTAATTGCTATACAGTATATAAACAGTATTTTGTGTTTAAAAATATTTTTATAATGTTAAGTAACTGAACAATTATCCAGGAATTATAAATACTTTATTGATATTATATACCAAGTTTCATTTAAAATAAAAATTTGTTTGATAATTTGTAAAACTAGAAATTCTTTAAGTGCTTAACTTTAGTTTACAAAAATGTGCGTGTTACTACTTTGAATAAAACAGGAAAGGTTATACTTTGATAATTTAAATTGCATTTGCATTTATGCAAAACATTTAAAAGCACAAATCAGATTCTATTTTTTTTTTTTTGTTTAAAATAATTTTCATGTTTTGAATCACCTTTTTAAGTAACTTTTTACACAACAACTTGAAATTTCGATTAAAAAAACAAAACTTTAATTAGTCTAATGGCAATTTCTTTTGATGGGGGAACTATATCTTTACCTATTCAAATAGTATAATTTTTTTTAATAATTAACTAATAATAGATAAAGCTTTTTTCGTATTCAAAAGATAGTAAAACTTTTTAGATAAGTAAACTTTTTGAATTATTTTTTTGAATTATTTTTATCATTTTGAAAATATTTTATCTGCATAAAAAGGTCAAAAAATAAACTTGAGGTTAGTTAACTAATGCAGGAATCCTGCGTGGGCCTTAAACTTTTTATATTAGAAAGGTTTTATTGAAAAAACAAAAATGTAATTTACCTATAGATTATTAATATATTTATAACATTTACAACAAAAACTTATGAGAAAATAAATAAAGAGTTTGTAAAACCTTGTTTATCAAAAATCTGTTGTTTTTTTTAACTGCTCAAACATGACTGACAAGAATTCATTTTGGGAGGTCAAAATAGCAATTTTAGTCATTTCAGGTGGTTGTTGATAGTTGACCGCCCATTATTTTCTACGCTGATATATTTTTCTAAAAGCAACTTATTTAAAAATGTCTGCTGGTACCCCTTAAATATGTGTTTTATATTAAAATAATACTGGATTTTAAAATGGTTGCTGTGGACCCTTAAAAATTAAATGGGTCCCTAATATTATTAAAAAGGTTGGGTCTCAAATGTAGAGAAACTATATAAAAATTTCAAAAATAATTTTTATAAAAAACAATGAGTAAAAAGAATTATAATCCAAAAAACAAGTTGAATTCTTTTTTTTTCATTTTTAGTTTTAAAAATGTCATTTTCTGTTCACTAAAATCTAAAATAGTAATTTTCTTATAAAATGATTTATATTTTTAAAATTTTTGATAATATTAGGTACTTATTTAATGTTTGAGGGTCTGTAGCAACCCCTAAAAATATATATTTTTTTAATCATTTAAATCCAGTATTATTTTATTATATAAAGTTTAACAAAAAGTGTATTTCAAAATATGTTTTGCCTGATTCCTTAATTGATAAAAAAAATTTATCGATAAATCATTCATTGATTTATTGCAATTTGCAGCAAAAACTTACGAGAAATTTAATAAAAAGATTTTTAAAAAATGAAAAACAAAGTGACTAAGTACAGTTAAAAGAAAAAAAATGTTTTTAGTTAAATACAGCAATCATTTTATATTATTATCAAAAAAGTATAACATTTTTATTAAAACAATAAATAACAACAAAGACTTTTATCTTTAAAAGTTGAAAAGATTTTATATAAAATCTTTCCAATTTTTTAAACCATTAAAATGAAAGTAAAATAAGTGAAACAAAAAAATTAATAAAGTTGTATATAATTAAAATAAAGTAGCATATCCTAAACAATAAAACTAACTTAAACTCAATTTCAAAATTCAAATAATTGTATAAAATTTTAGTGTATGCATTTTCAAAATCAAATTCTGATTATTTGTTTTGTTTTTCAAAACTCTGATTTTTTTTTTTTCAACCAGAAAAAATTCATTTTGGAAGATCAAACTAGTAATTTTAATCTTTTCATAGCTCAGAAATTTGTCTATGCACAAGTGTTTTATCTGTCATGGATGTAAAGTAACAGCCGGTAATCAGATGTTGACCGTTTACAGCTGTTATTTTACATGCTATATATATATATATATATATATATATATATATATATATATATATATATATATATATATATATATATATATATATATATATATATATATATATATATATATATATATATAGGTACTATACTTCCTTATAAATTATTTCTTAAAACAATCTTTTCATAATCAATAAAGATTATGAACAATTTATAGATAAATTTTATGTTACCAAAAAGATATTTGTAAAAGTAATTTATGTTTATAAATGTATTACACCAAAAGAAATTTACACGATTTTGAATTAAACAAAAAAACAACAATTTTTAAATACATTTATGATATGTATTTAAAACTGTAAATAGTATTAATGTTTTTTACATATTTAGTTATGTTACTTTATCTCTAAATCCGTAAGTAAACTTTGTAAAAAAAAAAAAAAAGTAAAAAAGTATTTTTGTTTAAATGATAAAACATTTTAGTTTTTATTTAGGAAGTATTTTTTTGAAAACATTTAAACACTCATACAATTTTCTTATGTTCTAATTAATAATAGAAAATGCGGAAAAATTTTGGCACTGTGACTTTCAAAATATAGTTTTATAATTATTTTAGATTACTTTTTTTTTTATGTTAATTCACCTCCTTAAAGCAGAGAAAGCCACTACAGATGAGAAGGCTACTTAATTATGGTTATAACCCCCTCTCAACTCTATAACTCCAATACACGAACCTTGATTATTTGAAAGGTCATACTTTTTGATATAAGATGTCGAAGTTTTACTTACTATTGGGAGATAAAAATCTACCTGAATTATATGTTATCTTCTTATCTATTAAGTTTACATAAAAATTAGTATAAAGTCCCATTAGAATAGTTTATAATTTACTTGCCTATAAACCACCCTTAACAATAATCCTTAACTGCCATACATTTTCTTGGGATTTTACTTAATGACTTTTCTAATTTGTTGAAGTCAATTTTATGCCACTCACTAATAAGTTTTTCCCACATCTTTTGCATCATTAGGTACTAGTTTTCAACATTACTTTTAATTCATCACTTTAAAATCGATAGGAGAGAGACCTGGTGATTAGGGAGGCTAATCATTTTATTCAATATTTGATCATTCTCAAACTCAGTCAAATAACTTATATAATGTTCTTAAAAACATATTTTGGATTCAAAGTTTAAGCCATTTTCTTTTAAAAAAAAATAAACGGCTTTCATTAACCCAACTTTTAAAAGGTATAACAAGACAACCCCACACCTTAACACTACAGCCACCATGTTTCATATAATATACACTGTTTTATTATACATTCAATGATACAAGTCAAACAATCTTTTCTTGAAACCAAAGATTTAAAACTTAGACATATTAGTCCAAAGATGCAGTCATTGATAGTCCATTTATTATGTAGTTTCGCCAACTTAAGATGTTTTATTATTTTTATGATTTTTATTATAGCATTTTAATCAAAATACTTTTCTGCTTTTTAAATAAAATTAAAAAAAAAAACACAATAAAAAACATGATAAATTGTTAAATTACATTTTTTTAAAAAGTTAATGTCATTTAATTAATTAACGATAGTGTATATATTACATTAAAATTCTAGTTGGAATTCTGGTCAGACTTACTTTCGACAATATCAGCATCATCTTCAAAATATTGTTCTATAGGCTTTTTCTTTGGTCTCTAAAGAAAAAAAGGATACTCTACTGTTTTGCCTGGGTTAGTCAAAATTTGAATCTGCAGGTAATCTTTTTAAATAATTTGTTTTTACGAAGAAAACAAACAAACAAACAAAAAAAGGAATCTGTAAATAAATGCTTAAATGTATAATTTATATTTTGAAATAACATAATTATCTCATGAACATATAGTATAAAACATAAACATAAATCTTATAAAATATATTTGATGAACATCTAAGATGAAATATAAACATCATACAATATATTTAAACATAAGAGATAAAACATAAATATAAGATATTTATATATAACATATTTAACTGATAATCATAACATAACATATAAACTTACACTTTATAACACATTTTGGCAGCCAGTTTATTTTAGCCAAGAAAAAGAAATTAAAAAACGATTTTTACTTTTAACTCTGCTATTAAAAAGTTTTCATGATAGGATTTTTAAAGTAAAAAAAATGATACCATACAGTTCTATTGTTGTTGATAAGATATAATAATAAAAATATTTCTCGACCAGGAGGTAATCCACTGTAAAAGGCAGTAACCCTCCTAAATGAAGAAAACTGGCCTGCCTTTGGACATGGAAATTATTCATAGCTTCAAGAATATTGCATGAGTAATGTGGAAAAATTTCAGTTTCTCTTATCACTTTCTGATTGAATAAATAATATAGAGCAAAACAGTCAGAAAAAGTAGTGGCAGAATTAATAAACCAGTTAAAAAATAACATTACACAAACTAACTCTTTATTCAAGCAATCAAGCACAAATGATTGTATTCAAGTTCAAAAGTCAGGACAACAAACTAAAAAGCCAAGCTATCAACTTATAGTAGCAAACTCTACAACAAATGATTTAAATGAAAACAAAAAGAGAGCTAAAAATATCATTATTTATGGAGTGTCAGAATCCAATAAAGTTTCTTTAGATGATAAAGTAGCTAAAATTAAAGCAAAAGTCTCGGAAATATTTACAGAAATTTCAAGACACAAGTTTTGAGAATGTGAGACGATTAAGAAGTAAAATTTCTGACAAGCCAGGCCCGTTGTTAGTTTTCTTGTCTAACTCCAATCTACAAAACAGAATACTAATTTATTCAAAAAATATAAAATTGCTTCCAAGTTTTAAAAATATCTATACATCTCCAGATTTAACAGAAGCTGACAGGATTTTATACTCAGAACAGAGCAAAATAAACTGAATAATGCCCTTAAGGAGACGGATTCCTTTTGGTATGGTATCTGTGGAAATCACAATAATTTTAAAAGAACTAATTGAAGTTAGTCAGTAATGCTAATTGTCTGTTATCTGAGTAGTAATGCTAATTGTCTGGTATCTATTGAATAAATAAGTTGCATGCCACCTCTCTTTTTATAACTAATTTAACCTAAAAAATTTAAACTAGTAGTTGCAATTTACAATACTAAAATAATTACTGAAACATGGTTTACAATACTAAAATAATTACTGAAACATGGTTTACAATACTAAAATAATTACTGAAACATGGTTTACAATACTAAAATAATTACTGAAACATGGTTTACAATACTAAAATAATTACCATGGTTTAAACCTACTTCTATCTGCAAATTGGATGGTTATTGTTTATGTAAAAAAGATAGATGTGATGGTCGTCAAGGTGGAAGTGTATATATTTATATTGACAGCAAAATTACTTCATATGAACTTAACAATAATGGATTTACATTGAGTCAAATAAAGCATGTCTGGGCTGTTATCCAGTTTGACAATGACAGATATTAAAAATGCATTTAAAATTGTAAAAGAATTATCCAAAAAGGTATAAAGATCTAATCATAGTTAGTGATTTTAATTTTCCTTGGATAAGTTGGTCCAATAGTTCAATAAATTCTATTAAAGAACCATCAGAAATTATGCATGTTTTTTATGAAATAATAAACAGCAATTACCTATATTAGCATGTAAACATACCAACATTTCAAACAACAAAAAAACTTGCTGAAAATATTTTAGTTTTAATTTCACCACTCAGTCAGCAAATATAAATGCCATTGATAATAAATTTGTCTTAGGAAACATATCCAAGTGTCAATTGGCTTCAGTGTTTTCATACCAAGAATGTTCAAGAAATGTATGATGAGTTGATTCATTATACTGAAGAAACGTGTAGTTCATATGTTCCTATAAATACCTCAAAGTCATCATCAAAAAAAATGTAGCTGAACAAAGAACTTATCTCACTCATTAGAGAAAAATAGAATTTAAGATACAGAAATTATTCTAGTAAATGGAAAAAATTGAAATCTTTTTAACCAATACAAACAATTATCAAAAAGAGTTTAATTTAAAATATCCATAGCAAGACAAAAAAATGAATCAATGATTGTGGAAAAAGCTAAGAAGAACATAAAAATATTATATAGACATGAATTCACAACAATATGTAAAAGACTATATAAAAGTTCTACAACAACCAAGCAGTGAAATAACTCAGGATCCAGAAAAGAGCTGTTCTACTAAATATGAACTTTCAAAACGCTTTTGTCAAAGAAAATAAAAAGTGCACTCCATTTTCAAAACAAGAATTATCGATGCCACCTTTAATTCAACTCCTGAAGATATCCAATATGAAGATGTTTTTGAAAGCTAAATAATCTTAATCAAAACAAAGCCTACATCGTCGACCAATTACATCCATTTATCTTAAAAAACTGTACTAATGCATTTGCTCTTCCTCTCATGCTAATTTCTATGAAATAGAAAAAAAGGTAACTTCCAAATCAATTCAATTCATCAAATATAACTGCACAATATAAAAAAGGTGACAAGACTGATTCTGAAAATTACAGACATATATCAATTTCATGTGTTACTTTTAAAATACTTAAATATTATTGCTAATCAACAGCATGGATTTATTTAAAAAAAAAGGTCATGTACTACTAATTTACTTGAAACTCTGGATTATATTACAAGAAATGTTGATCAAGGGATTCCTGTGCATGTAGTTTTACTTGATTTTGAAAATGCATTTGATACTGTACCATACCAAAGGCTTATCTTAAAACTTGAAACATATGGCGTTAGTGGCTTAGCACTTCATTGGTTTTAAGCTTTCTTATCTAATAGAAGGCAGAGAGTTATTATGGGAGACTATGCTTCAACTTGGGCTGATGTGTATAGTGGAGTTCCTAAATGCTCTGTATTGGGTCTACTACTTTTTGTACTTTATAAAAATGATCTTCCTGAATCTCTAAAAAATAATTCTGTATGAAAATAAACTGTATGCTGATAACATAAAAATCATGTCGATTAGTTTTTCTGATGAGTTACATAACAAACTACAATGCAATTTGAACTCTGTGTATGCTTGGACACAAGATTGGTCGCCTAACTTTAATGACAAATGTTTAGTTATGCACTACGACTATAAAAATAAGAGAAAACAAATTTAAAAAAATATAAACAGGGGAGGGGGTTTATCCAATTTATACAAATGGTTGTTAACTCAACATATCAGATTCAGAAAGGGACCTAGGAGAGACTTTTTCAGATAACTTGAAGTGGAAAAATCAAGTATTATCAAGTGCAAGCTAAGCAAACCGCATATTGGGCATAATAAAAAAATATTTTGTTCAATTCGATGCAGAACTGCTAAAATCTCTATATCTTTCTTTTGGTCGACCACTTCTAGAGTTTGCTGTATCAGTATAAGCTCCTTATCAAAAACGAGATATTGCCATTTCAGAAAGAGTACAGTGTCGTGCCACTAAACTAATATCTTTAATCAATAAATTTTGCTATAAAGATCAACTAGCATATATAAGAGTGCCCTAACTAGATCAAAGAAGACAACGAGGTGACATAATTCAACTGTATAAAAATTTTCAAAGGTTACAATTAAGTTGAATTTAAAGAAAATAATTCCTTCAAATCGAATTGCACTCATCGTCATAACCTAAAGTATTCTGAAGAATTTTCTGTACGTAATTATAGAGAAAATATTTTACTAAAACAATTTATATTGAACTAATATTGAACAAAGGGAGCGAGTTGGTTTCAAATTGTAGACATAAAAATAAATTCCTTCTTTCGTTTTATGATACTGGTGATTAGCTGATTTATATATAATTTTTGACGTTTTCTTGTTTTATCTCTATAGATATGTCAGATGTCCCTCCACTGTATTTTTTAGTTTTATTAACGTTTTTTTGCTTGTTTTTGATATAGTACATGTCTGATGATTGCCATATAGGCATGAAACTTATAGTTCCATGAAAAGTTGTTTTTTCTCTATGTAAATAAAATATATATACACGGGAAAAAAATACAAAAAACTAGCAGTTCTATTTGTGTTAATAAGGTAACTAATAATATATTGAATAACTCACCACCAAGAGGTAATCCACCAATATGGGCAGTAGTCCTTTCTTATAAAGTTTAAATGGCGCTTGGATCAAACCAGGAAAAGATGATAAAAAACTAATTGTAATAGCTTTCAATTAAATTAAAAGTGAACTAATGGAGAGGATTGATAATTTGGAGCAAGTTTTTATTGATAAAGATGCATTAATCAATGCTCAGTTGTTGCAGCCTCAAACTTAAAGTAAAAAAGAGGGTGTTTTCCAGTATGTGTATTGTTGCGGACTTTAATTACAACAAAACTGTATGGGAATTGGTTAACACTCCTTTATGCTTTAGAGGACCAGCTGCACTAGATTATGAATTCATCAGTACATTAAGTAAAAACTTTGTTTACTAATTAGTCACCTTTCCAACATTTGTAAATTCAAGAAGTAATTATTGGAATTATCTTGATTTAATTCTATCAGAGTCATAATCAAAAATTAGTCAGGATAGAGTTTTTGACATAGAGTCAAATCTTATGCTAAGTGATAACAATGAACAATTTCATGTTTCTATTTGCTGGAACCTATTTGTAGCCAATGTTCAAAAACAGACATTCAAAAGATCAAATTATAATTTTAAGAAAGGTAACT